GGGGGGGCAGGGGCGCCCGCTGCAAAATCGTGGTGGTGGGGGACGCAGAGTGCGGCAAGACGGCGCTGCTGCAGGTGTTCGCCAAGGACGCCTACCCCGGGGTGAGGGACCCGCGTGTTGCGAGGGGGGGCGCTAAGGCCGCGTGGGTGGTTGACAGGGGCCGAGGTTGCGGGGACAGATGGAAACGGGTGCCGGGGTAACCAGGGACAAGAGAGAAGGGCTCCAAGGACCGTGGAGGGAGGCGTTGGGGGGACTGCAGAGGATTGGGGTGGGAGGAATTAGGGAGCAGGGTGCGATAGATGGATTTTGGAGAACCAGAAGCTTCTGCTGGGAGCGCCTGGGGAATGTCGGAGGTCCTAGGCGTCGGAGAGGCATGGAACTAGGGGCTAAAGGCGTCGGGAGCGGATCTGGGAGCCTAGCAGAGCTCCGCGGAGGCAGCAGCTCCCAGAATCTCCCTTTTGCCCAACCCCAGACCAACTTGTGTCTAGGAGCCAGGCTGGACCAAGTGTGAAAGTGAGGAGGGCATTTGGCAGGGGTGAGGACTGGAGAGACGAGCTCATCTTGACCCATCTGTGTCTGCAGAGTTATGTCCCCACCGTGTTTGAGAACTACACCGCAAGCTTTGAGATCGACAAGCGCCGCATTGAGCTCAACATGTGGGACACTTCAGGTAGCCAAGTCCCCGGGGGGTCACCCTTATTTCTAAGCTCCCGGCATCCTGACCCCTGCCTTGACTGACCCTTAGGTTTCAGGTTAGCCTGGTCCATCTATACAATTCTATTTTCTGTTTAAAACCAGGGAAACTGAGGCAGAGCATGCTAAGCCTGACAAAAACCATGCCCTGAAGGAAACAGCCTAGGATCTTAGCTCCTGTCTGGGTTCTGTGTACCTGGGAAAGTTGGGAAGAAATGGCTTTTAGTTTGGATCATGTTTCTTGGAAGATTGGACTGGGTTTAAGAAAAACATTTAGAATTTATTTTTTGAGTGTGAAGTGGGCAGGGGAGCAGTTCCTCTAGACTGAACTAGAGAAGTCTAAGATCAAGTCTCAAGAGGATGGCAGAGCTTTTTCCTGCTCCTTTTTATTTTTTGGAGAGGTTTTTGCTATAGGGCGTGTGTGCTCGCCAGAAAGACAGAGACAGAGAGACAGAAAGCGAGAAATCACCCCCCAGTGGGGATGGCCATGCCGCAACCCCTTCTCCTCCATTCTCCTCTCGGGATCTTGGGTGGGCACGCACGCACATGTGCCTGGCATGAGTTTAAGCCACCGGGACTGGGACTCGAACCGTGGTTGACTACATGGGAGTCCAGCGACACAGCCATTACGCTGACTGCTGGTCCCTTTTCTGCTCCTTTCCCTCCCCCCAAAATGGGGAGGGTTTTTATTTCTACAAGAGTTCCCTGGAGGGCTTTGGAAGATGCCTGTCAAAGTCCAGAAAGCACATGCAAAAAATTGTGAGAACATGGATAGGGTTCATGAAGTTCTCAGAGGGGTCCAAAACTCAGAAGATTAAGAATTGGGTGGAGAACTGTCAGGTGGTGTGGTGGTTGAAGCACTGGACTCCCACATGGCCAAACACAATTCAAGTCCTGGGCCCGGTAGCTTGATACTAACATAGAATTTCACATGTGCATGTGTGTGTGTGCCCAAAATCATGAGAGAAGTATAGAGGAGAAGGGATTGTGGTGTGGCCATCCCCCCTATGGGGGTGATTTCTCGCTTTCCCTCTCTCTGGTTTTTTTTTTTTTTTTTTTTTGAGAGATTTCTGCCATAGGGCACGTGTGCTCCACAGAAAGACAGAGCGAGAAAA